AAAAAAAAAAAAAAAAATAGTAAGATTGTGTTAAAAAAATAAAATCTCTGCAAACACAAACACAAAAAAGGCTTAAGGAAATATTTCAGTTTATTTGTAATGAATCTAGAATAAATTAAAGATTCACTTTTTTAATTGAATTATTAAAAAAAGTGTTGTTTTTTTTTTTTAACATACACCTGTAGAAACTTTAGGTGTCTCATGTCAAAGTGAAACTTTAATTTTAAATTTTTTTTGTTTTAATCTTAATGATTGCTCTTTTATGAAAAGCAATAAGAGATAACGGTTGTTGTGATTTGGCGCTATATAAATAAAATTTAATTGAAATCACAAATTGAGCCTCTCAAAACGTATTAGAAATTTAGAATAATCTTGTTTACTTGTCAAAACCTGCAGCCACACCAGGCCAGTAAAAAGGGACGGGCGTCTAACTGGGACGGTATCCTACAGATGGACCTTCTCGGGCCCACTTGCTAATTTCAGACCCCTGAATATAAGTTTTCTGGACATTTACAAAGCGCTTCCTCATGCTTTAGAGTGCGAGTGTTACACAAACAGACTGCACAATGTAAACAGATGGGAGACCCCCCGCTGTGGCCTCCTTCTGTCTGTGATGCCCTGCAGACATATACACAAACACATATGTGCATACAGACCATACTAATATAGAGGCTGTCACATGTTAGATATTCTTTTACTTTGACTCAGGACCGACTGTTTCACACTAAATCAGACTGAGACAGAAATTATTATAAACCCTGCAGAATATTTAATGCTGTCAAAGTGTCAGATCATACACTATTTTTACCGTACAGTAACACAGCAGTTTATGAAGAGCAGAGCTCAGCGGGCGAGTCAACGACCTGCTTCTATCGATCCATCTGCATCTGTTTTCTGTGACTGACCAACATTAAAGCTGCATCTAAGTGTATTTATAGCAGTGGAGGGATACGCTGGCGTGTTCGGAGGTAATTAAACCTGAATCATTGATGTTCATTGATGTCTGGTGATCCAACAGAGCTCCAAGTGGTGGAGACATAGGGGTTCAGATCTGGGGTGTGAAGAGACATCACGATACGCGATACAAGGTTCACGAGAACAAAACATCCTTGAACAGTGTTTCAAGATATCCTCAATGCCGAGACATATGAGCGGGGGGGTCGTCACGCAATGTTGATCATTAAACACTTCATTTCCTGCATTCTGGTGAACGTTTCCGCACCAATTTATGGAGGAAATATTTTTATTTATGTAAAAGGAAACAGAATTCAGGTGGCAGGTTACATTTCAAAATATATAAATATAATCTAAGTCAGAGCAGCTGTCAGTCTTTCTCAGTCTGTTTACTGAGGTAATCAATCAGCTGAGAAGAAGCCTCATTTTCTCATGGACTTCTATACAATCGAGTGGAGTCGCCCCCTGCTGGCTGTTACAGAGGATGCAACAAAGTCCTTTTAGGGAAATCATGCCGCTCAGCCGCCATCTTGGCAGCTATTTCAACTAACAAGTCACACGAGCCAGATCTGCACTTTCACTGGACATAAAAACTACATGAATAGAATCAGCATTAAAACCCTGACGTCAGTGGAACAGCACGATTGGCTGAATTATGTTTCCCGCTCTGGCTGTTAAAAGCAGCTGACATCGAAACACACCGACCGGTTCGTCTACAAGCTTGACTTGAACAGTGGGCGGGACGCTGGCGTTCTGCTGTGACATCACTAAAGTACAGCGTCATTATAACTGAAGGGAACGATGAACGAAACCACCAAAATAAAGCTCCAGTTGTAATAAACCGTAACTATAATTTCATATCTCGCTCCAGTAAAGACCTGAGTCACTGCTGACGGTGCTGGACAGAGTCAGACCTGACTCACTCTGGGCGACCTGTGGAGGACCATCCAAGGACACGGACTCTGAATAAAGAAACACCAGCTCCCGCCAGACAAACGCCTGTGAGATAACAGCATAGTCCGTGACCTACAAGTGTGAAGCAAACCTGCTTCAAAGATTAAACTCGTGTTCTCATGGTCGGTTAGTCACACAAAGTCTCAACAACACTGAACCTCAGTTTTTTTAAGCCAACCTTAAAGTGATCTGAAAATGAACCAGGCATCTGTCTGCTGAGGAAGATCATGTGATGTTATCAAAAGCTCCAGAAGAGCTACTAAAGGCACCTTGTGGAGAGGTGCATGTATGTATCCGTCATTTTAGTCCAAATAAATGCCAGAAGAAAGGAATGTACCTGTAGGAAAGTCCCTCTCCTCTCAGTACAGACTCCATTCAAAAATCTATTTAAGACAAAAGTGTTTGTGCAGTTAATAACAGAGCGAACAGGGAGGGACGTCCGGGTTTTTACAAATCAAGGGTTTTCTGCTAAATTCTGCACACGAGAAACTCACTTATTAGCTTATTATTTCAATAAAATGTTAATGCTTAGTCTATAAAATTTTTTTAAAAATCACGAGTTCAAGAAGATGTCTTCAAATGTCCCATTTGTCCAACAGTCCAAAACCCAACAATATAAAAAGACAAAATATTCACATTACAGAAGTTTGAAGCAGAGAACTGTTGACATTTGACTTAATAAATAACTTGAACCTCTTCAGCGCACACAGCTCCTTCCCTTTCTTTCATTGTGTTTGGCGACAACAAGGCCGCCGTGGTTCGGCGGTGAGCATGTGCAGTGATGAAGTCATGGGTCGAGAACAGAGCGCTATTGAGTTCTCCATCAGATAAACAGTCAGCGTCGCCGCAGGAGACTCAACTGCAGAGCCGGAGCTTTCTATCAGCCGCTTGGTCTTCGTGTACATGTGATGAATTAGCAGCAGGATCCAGACGCGGAGGTTTTACTCACTTATAGTTCACTTTGAGCTGCCGTTTATCGTTCTATAAATAATTAATATGAATAATACAAACTGTAGGAAATGTGTTCAGTACAGCTGCTTCTGTCCAGAGTTTAAAAAATACACCTAGAAACATGTAAAACTCTCTCTATCTGTACAAAAACAGTAATGTAAAATGTATTTTGGGAGATTTATACTAGGAAAATACTGCACTTTTTTAAGTATAACTCTTTTATACTTTTACAGCTAGAACAAAAAGCTCGCACGATTTTCCAAATACACAATAATTTAAATAAAACTACAGAACAGTATAACTGTTAGGCCGACCACCACCCGATCAAATACAAATGAAAATACGTTGCACATCTTTTACATTCAGCACAACACGTTTACGTTTTTACTGCTCACTACAGACAGACCGATAAATCAGCGTGCCGATATTATCGGCTGACACGAGCTAACAGCAGATATATCTAACCCTGAGACGGATCCTTCAGTCATGTCATGAGTGTTGTTGTTGCGCAGTTTGTCCACCAGACGGCGCTCTACTTTTCACCGACTCGATCAGCTGCACTTCAGTTCAAAGTAGGATTTATAACAATTAAAAAAGGTTTATTTTTAAACCGCTGTTATCTTGGCGGCGTCTCATGACAGCACATAACAGATGTTATATTAATCTTTGTTTATGTTACGCGTTTCTGAAAAGAAGAAGAAGAAAAAGAATATCAGATATTAAAATATCAAAATGAGTGTCGGTTTTAAAAATACCAGTCAGGCTCTACCACTGACGCCGCTGACTTTAATTTGTAGTGGCCAGTAAGTGTTTACTCAAGTACAATTTCAAGGTACTTGTACTTCTATATTTCCATGTCATGACACTTTCTACTTCCTGCAGATCTCCGGGGGGAAATGTTTTACTGTTTACTCCTTTAAGCTTCTGTTACTTTACAAAACATTTGAAGAACTTTGAAAACGTGTTGTTTGGTAAAATATTAAACTTCACAACAAATCTGAGCTTAAAAAAATAAGTCACTAACTGAAAACAAAAAAACAAGCTCGTGCAAAAATCCCCAAACACATCTGATGGTTTCAGCTTCTCTGATTAAGATTAAGTGGCTGCAGCAGCTGTGATGTTTGTTCATGACGTTGAGCTTTGGACTGTTGGTCGGACACACTGGGCAACTGTGACGGCAGAATCTTTACAAACCAAACAACCAGTGGGTCGATGGAGTAAATGATCAGCAGACTGATCCAGAGTGAACAGTCTGAAACTGAAGAGTTCAGAATGAGCTGCAGCAGCAACAGAGTACTTTCACACTGTGGTATCAGTACTTCTGTTTAAGTAGAGGATCTGAATACTTTGTCCACCGCTGGTAATAAAGGCCCATGTTGATATTTATCTTTATTAGTGCCCATTTCAACTGCTCCGTTATGTTTAAGGCTGCAACTAATGATCATTTTCATCGTCGTTGAATCTTATTTTCTCGATTAATCGATTGTTTGGCCGACAAAACATCAGAAAACGGGGAAATATGCCACAGTTTTCCCAAAAGCCCGAGATGACCTCCTCATATGTTTTGTTTTTTTGTCCACAACCCAAATATATATTCTATAATATCCAGAGATGTGGATGTTGGTAGTTTCATCTCCTTTTGTGGACACGCAGATGAAACATTTATCCATGTCGGTCGTTTATTTACTTTCCTACAGATGTTTTCTCTCTGATGAAGGATAATAAAAAAGTTCATGTATGTTCAGGTTCTTCAGGGTTTGTATATTTTGTATATTTTGTATATTTTGTGTGATATTTGGATTTCTCTCTGACATCATTGTAATTTATGATAACTATCATTATATCATCTTATATTAAAACACATTCATTTTACTGTTGCAGAGGAGCAACCTGAAATTATTCACATTCAAATCAGACCAAACAATTAAATCAATCATCAAAATAGTTGCCAATTAATTTTACAGTTGACAACCAATCGATTAATCAGCTCTGGTTAAATTACCACAAAGAGCTGAGACAAAGTGAACTTGAAGCATTATTGATCCCGACATGTTTAATTAAGCTGCTGCTGAGTGTAATTAAATATAAATGATATGTCATGTGTGCAGGAGCCCCAACACGGTGCCACAGTGAATAAATACCGAGTCCGCTGATCTCCTGGCGGATGTTCAGTCGGTTCCTCTCGTCGGCGATGGCCTTCAGCATCTGCTGCAGGGACCCGTCCAGCTCTCCGTTCTCCTCCTCCGCGGGCCCGACAGCCTTACACAAACCGGGGAAGGACGCCATCTCCGAGCTGGGATCATGACAGTCCGGGCTAGCAGCTAGCGACGGCACCGGTTCACGGTAGCTAACAGGCGGCTAAGAGGAGCGCAGGCGCGGAGACAGGAAGGTGGTGGGGGGGGGGACACCAGATATTAATCCCGAATCAGGTCCGTCCTGTGGGGGTGCAGACCTGCCGGCGGCCGGTCCGCTCTGCTGTGGTGCCCGGAGAAGGTGCAGGGAGGTCGGGCTGCTGAGGGTGAGACTCTGGTCCTTCTGTTGTGCAGATCAGCTGGAAACACCCCTCACACTTCCTGTAACAACACGAGGCTTTTAAAGAGACAGCGCACCGGACCGGTGTTACAGAGACTTCTGTCACCCGGAACATTCTCTTCCCCTTTCATCCATGAAGAATTACATCAATAAGTAATTTATTTTTTAACGTTTGTTTTTACTGTTAAACAAGTAAGAAAAGTACGCCTACAACCTTTTTTACCCAATATATAACCCTAAAAGCAAGTGGTATAAATACACATAAAATTATTCAAGTGCAAATGATATTATCATTTTAAATAAAACACACAAAATAAGGCAGAATACAGGGCCAGATGTATTTTCAGTCACAGGAGAAATATTTAATTCAAATCTGGCTAAAAGTAAAAGTTAAAAAAATCGAACATCTTATTTCATTGAAAAATAGTTTTTTATGGGTCTGTTTTTCTGAGAATAAAAGGATTTTACAGTTACTGGTGAGGTACTTGGTGAATCTCCTCTTCCCTCCCTTACTTTTAATTAATTATGTAGTATATCAAAATGATGTATATAAAGAGTGAACGTCATGTATGAAAGGGTTCATTTTTATTCCTGCATATTACTTATAATTATTCTTTGACATGTCATGAGCATTAGTTCTATTTTCATCATTAATTATAAAATAATAAGTCAGAATTATTATTATTATCTTGTACATCATGTTATTTATAACAAAACTTGTGATACATTTATATTAAAGATGGTGACTCTTAAAAATCCAGCCTCAAATGTTTAACTCATCATTTGGCTAAACTATGTCAACATTTTCACTTAGAAACTGAAACATTTGATTTATTATCGTTATCTTAATTTAGCGTCACTCACTTTTGGTCTTCCACACTTTGGAGTATTTGGGGTTAGTTAATCTGAAGGGTCACAGAATACAGTATAACACTAGTACTGATACTTATGAGCTAGTATTTGGCTCCATACTGTGTATAAATATTTATTTTCCTGTACTAACTTACTGTAATCCGTTTTGCTAGTTTCCAACACTTCAAACATGTTTAACTAAACTAGTCTGCAGTTAGTTGTGGCCACACTGTTGATATGTGATGTAGTGAGAAATAATGTCACGCGGTGTTTAGCGGGTCACGAATCAGACGCACCCGTTAGCGCTGCTGGGCGGTCGGCTGAAACTAGAGTCCCCGCCCGGCTGGCTGGGGGAGGAAATAAGGAGTAGTTACCGGAATGAAGACAATAGATGACTGGTTCACTAAATATGTTATCTTGGCTCACATTTCATTATCTTCAGGTTCCCGGTCGAGGTTTAAATTAGCGGCTAACCAGATAGCTAACTAACGTAACCGTTAAAGCTAACGTTAGCTCGTTGTAACGTACTTTACGGACTTAATCCAGGTACTTTTAAAGACCGGAATGAACCACGGACGGTCACAGGACAGTTTCGGTGCTTTGTTGGAAGGCTGTTGCCGTTAAATCGGGCAGATTAGCCGGTCTACCGCGGAGATTAACGGACTGTTTATCACCGTCAGTCAGTTGAAAGTTGGAACAGGAGTTACAGCGAATTCTGTGACCCGTCAGATTCTGAGACGCTACAACACCGATAACCATAACTTCCGGGGTTATCGTCTCAACTAAACCACTAAAATAAATAAATAGTTATTAAAACACACAAAGCACAACTAACTTTAATAATCAGGCCACTGGACCGAAGTTGACAGGTGGCAGAATTCTGCACAACACCGTTGTTGCGCAGCATCAAACCCCGCCCGTCCAATACGGGACCTCGGCGTCGTCAAACGAGTGCACCCTTTGTTTCAAGACAAAAGATGACGTCATTGTCTGAGGAGCTCCTGCATAAAGGATTTCCCCTGAAAATCAGCAAACTCTCTCTTATTTAAACACAACTTCTCTCCACACCGACATTATATTTGGAATAAGAAGAACATTCTCTATAAAAACAAGTCAATACTTCTTGAAAACTGGTTTAATAATAATATTTTACTTGTCAGCTGTCTGAGACTATATAGCTACTCAGACTTTTTGACTACAGATCAAATCCCCATATCAGTTAAAGAGTATGTGATTGTTTTTGATGTTGTTCCTTCAGGATGCTGTGGGGGGGCGTTAACTTCCTGCGCCCACTTATTCACACTATACATTTATGTGACACTGCTGTGGGGAGTTTATGCTTTTCCACAGAGCAACAGGTAAATAATAAACTACTTAGATACTGGAACAGTGTAATAGAGAGTGTGCCAACAAATCTGTTATTCTTACTTGCCAAGTTCCATATCCACAGGTGTAAATTTAGCCTTTCTGAACGATTCGTCCCCGCCTTCATGAGTGAACTAGATGCATATATGGAATATTCAAAAACTGCAAAGCTCAAAGGACTATACAACTATATTCAACACTTACGACCTGATGGAAGTGACTGATACTGGAACTCAAGTTGGTGCTTTAACCTGGACTTTTTAGTCAGAAAGCCTTAATGAATGTTAAATAATTTTTGCATCCCTGGAGAATGAAATGCTGTATGTCTTCATATGTTATATGTATGTGCTGACATCCATCCATCCATCGTCAACCGCTTATCCTGCGTACAGGGTCACGGGGGGCTGGAGCCAATCCCAGCTGACATTGGGCGGAAGGCGGGGTAAATCCTGGACAGACCGCCAGTCCATCGCAGGGCCACACATAGACACACAACCACTCACGCTCACACCTAAGGACAATTTTAGAGACACCAATTAACTTAGCCTGCATGTCTTTGGATGGTGGGAGGAAACCCGCAGAAAAAGCCAATAAAAAATATATTAAAAAAGGATTTCCCCTGAACATGTCTTATAATATCTTCATGTTGTGTTCTCCACAGGTTTTTATATCATTTAAAGTTGATATGAATGTCTGTAAATTCTCTTTTTACTAATAAATAAAAAGATTAAGGAAACAAACATTTATGCTGTTCGTCTCTTCCAGCAGCAGCAGCAACAACACAAACTTGTTATGAATGTGATAAATTAAACTTTTGTTCATGGATTTTATGGAAGGATTGAAGGTATTTAAGAGCTAAAACCCCATTAAAATATATTTATTAACCTTATTTTTGCATCCTTTTCAATTAAGCTGCATATTTATTGTGTCAGACGGTTGGCAACATGAAGGATTATCAGCTGGAACAAGTCATTCATTTAATCTTTGAAGGTAAATTATGAAAAATTTAACATTCTCACTTGGTCAAAATTATTATTACTAAGTTATAATTATGAGATAAGACAACAATTTGACTATTCAAGTCTAAATGAAGAAAACAATTGTGATTTAGTGTCTCACAATTTTGATTTATTAAGTCAAAATTAGTTCAATCTTAATTTGTGGTCTTATAAGAAGCACTGGTATTGCTATTTTGGTTTGTGCTCTTTAAAAAACATTAATTGTGTAAAAAAAAAAGTCAGAATTGTGACTAGAAATGTTGACTTTTTAATTTAAAATTCTAAAATACCAAGTCAAAAATAAAATAAGAAGCTAAATTAGAACTTCAGAAGTCAAAATTATTTTATTTTATTATTTTTTTATTTAACCAAAAGTGCTCTTTGGCAGAGATAGAAACAAAATAAAATCAGGTTAACAGTTGACAAAGGACTCATTCACCTTTTAATATACAGTTTAATTTCCTTTTGCTGCGTTCCAGTGGTTAAAGCACAAATCAAGTGTTTCTCCGTCCTTCCAATACAATCACAGAGTGTCCTAATTTTAACATGACAAAATTATGAAATACAAAGTCAAAATTTTAAAGTAAAAAAAAAAGTATAACTCAGATGTGACAGCAGGTCAGTTAATGTATGACGACCCTGATAATGATTAATTCCTTTAAGTATGAGTTTGGGGAATATATTTGGTAGAATTTATGTTGTTTTATAATATTGTTTCAGAGAGAGACACCTTTCCTTTTTGAATGTCTTTGTTAAATGTGGACCAATCAGAAAGAAGAATATTCTGATTTATTTATTATTATTATACCACATATATTCAGTGTAATGAGTACATTAATGTACACTGTACATTTCGCTGTAAAGCGCTGAGACCTGGTCTGACAGCTGCAGGTCTGAACCCTCCATCTGGCTGAAAGGACAGAAAGTAAACGTGATTAGCTTTTACAACTTTTACAAACTGCATAAAATTGCTATAGTATTAGTATCATAGAATAGTATAGTATAAAACCGCATTATTAAGGTAATTTTAACAGGACAAGGGTCTTATCCAATTTAAGCTACTGGCCTTTATAGCTGTCTATATTGTCCATCTAACTTTAGCCGAGGAGCTGTTTTGAAGGACTGATTCTGGAGCTTCCTCCAAAGCTGCCAGTGCTGAAAATCTGAAGTTAGAATGAGACGGCATCAAAGTCTTGCAGATTGTCTTGCACTAGAAGATCCTTCAGATTTGATGCTAAGAACCAAGTCATTTCAATTCAGTCGATATATTTTATAATTTTTTAAATATTTCACAGCAGGTCCATCAGCCTCCACCACTGAGATCATCCACACCTGGCTCTCCAGTTTCTACTCCCCCAGTGGATCCAGCTGACTGAATGACCAATCACACGTTGATGTGGTGAGCAGGGGGCCAGCAAGGGTTGACAGAGACTTGACATTTCCAAATAGACACTCAGGCATCAGAAGTCCACTCTATCACTTTAGATCACTCATAAAGAAGCTGGTTGACTTATTCAAAAAGAAACACAACGCTGTCTGCCTTTGTTTGGCTGTTATTAAAGATTTGAGTCAGTCAGAATGTCTTTATCAGTCTTTTCATTCAGAAGTTCATCAGCATCTGCTGGGTCTTGCACTGCCATTAAGCTCAGTAGCACTGGTGGTATCATCTGTTTCCTGTTTGATATCAAACATAGAAGATATAATAAAACAGAGTATAGTCCACTTATTATTATTGTTTTTCATCAGAATCAGCCTTTTTGCAAAGAAGATTTAAGAAATTTGCTTTGGTGTTTTTATTTAAGAATATAAGAAAGATTCATTTGGTC